GGGGGGGGGGAGCGAGTGAGCAGCACCCTCGCTGAGTGTACTCTCATTCACACTTATTTACAACTGTTTCTGTATGGGAACATTAACTCTTAACCACAGCGGGCTTACAGTGGGATAATTGTAGGGTTGATTTTATTTTTCCTGTCTACACTGCTAAATTTTTCATGTTTTTTATTCACATGCTGGAAAACAAAATTTGGATTAGAAAAAAAAATAGCCCCGGGGCTGGAGAGAGATGGCTCAGAGATTAAGTGCACCGGCTGTTCTTCCAGAGGACCTGGGTTCAATTCCCAGCAACCAGGGGGTGACTCACAAATATCTGTAATGAGATCTAGAGTCCTCTTCTGGCCTACAGGCTACATACAATCAGAACACTGAATACATAATAAATTAATTTTTTAAAAGTCTTTAAAAAACAAAAAGAAAGAAAGGAAAGAAAAGAAAAAGTAATAATTCCATAGATTTCTTCTGGTTAAGAACTTTCCAAGTACTCAACAATCAAACAAGTTCAAGGTCTTCTGTCAACTGGTTTTTATGGTTTTGTTTTCCAAAGCTGAGATACAGGTCTGTTATCAGGCAAGGGTCATTACTTTGGCATCTGAAAGGCCTTATCAAGCACCTTTCCTTCCCGAGAAAAAGCACCAGATCTAGCAGGAGGCACACGGCCATCTCAACTTCCCTGGAGAAGAACAAAGCACAGACTGAAGGAAGATCAGGGCGGAGAGCCAGTGGTGGCTGCCAGCGCAACTCAGAAAGAGGATAGGAAAGGCCCATAGGGACAGGGACCAGAGCCTCCCAAGGCAGAGCTAATGCTGGCGGAGAAAACAAGGATGAGGTGAAATGGAGAAAAAAAAAGACAAGACACAGACTGGTTAGTAAACTAAACCACGGTGGTACATGCCTGTAATTCCAGCACTGGGGAACCTGGGCTGGGACATCATACGTTTGTGGACAGTGTTACACCATGGGACCCTGTTACCATGGGACCCTGTTACCATGGGACCCTGTTACCATGGGACCCTGTTACCATGGGACCCTGTTACCATGGGACCCTGTTTCAGTGTTTTATGAATGGTTTCTTGAAAAGTTGCTACTGAAATTTTAGCATTTGCTAGTTGAGTGATGTCAAGTGAACAGGATTGGGGTAAGTGAACAGGGCAGAAAAGAGGGAGCCAGTGAGAACAAACAGTCAGGCACAGTGACTTACACAGTCACGGTCGTAGAAGGCCATATATAATATTTACACAAACACACCATGTCTCTGAGTCCTAGAAAGCCACATCGTTCGGGCATTTCCACACAATGGCCTTTGCTAGATTGCTACACAAATTATTCCAAGGATTTTCACACATCGGTACTCTTGTTGTTTCTCAAATGTTCCTTCAAAGGCCACCCTTCTGGGTCCCTTTTGGCAAGAACTGAAGGATTTGCAAGATACAAAATAGAAGGCAAGGGAGCAACTATTCACAGGGAGGGAAGGGGGAAAAGGTGGGGGACTAGGAAAGAAAAGGGGTGGCATAGGGGAGGGGCTAGGGAAGAAATGGGGCTAGAGAAAAGAAGAGAGGGAGGGAGAGAGGGAGGGAGGGAGGGAGGGAGGAAGGGAGGGAGGGACGGAGGAGGGAGAAAAGAAAGGAGAAAGCACTCTACTGCAGGAAGGGAAGGAAGGCAAGCTCAAGCCTGCCCCTTTGCATTTTTTCCTGAGGGAAGAAGTTCAAGTTTTCTCAGCTGCCACTCCCAGTCATGTTCAAAGAGACCTGTGTGTCAGGAAGGGTTGGTCCTTTCCCTCTCCAGAACTGGCACTCGGGCTGTCTGCTCTGCCCTTGTAAGGGTGTCTCATTTGGTTTAGAAGAAAGAGACATGGTTTTCCTTTCTTCGCTCACAGGCTCTGACATCAGGATTTCTTAACTCTCCGTCATATTTCCTGCCCTGAGTGACAGACAGATGTGACTCCCAGAGTCCATCAGGTGGATCTTACGTATGCCACACAGCTTCTGTCTTACTTCGTGGTTCAGAACACCCTAGACATGCATCTTTGTCTGGAGGAAAATCACTTAGTGCTTTTGCTTGGTGATGGGGGCGGGGACTAGGAAATAATGCTTCCGTGGACCAACCAGAGCAATGGAGGCTGACAGGTACAGAATATCGTGTGGCTTGAGGACCAGTTTGACTCCTATAACTTCATTTCCTTGCTCAAGTCCCCACTCTTCCTAACTCTTCAAGTCCCTGCTCCTGATGTCACAGTAAAATACTTGAATGAACAATTCTCTTGGCCTTAACCCCAAATTTCTCCTGGTTTTGTTGCTATTTTATTTTGGTTTTGGTTTTAGTTTGGCTTATAGAGACAAGGTCTCAATATGTAGACTGGACTGAACTGGAACTTTGGACTGCTTTCCCGAGTGCTGAGTGCTGAGTTGAGCTGCATGCATCACCACACTGGGCAAGATAAAAAAATCTTTATATCTAATCTGTGACTCTGTCTCACACACCCTGCCTATTTGTCCTCTGGTCCCTAGACATCAGATATCCTATCAGTCATGCAAATGGAACAGTCTGTGCCTCTCCATGGATACTAAACATTTCTCCCATCCCCCCATTTTGTCATTAATAATCAGTTTTCAGTTCTGCTGCTACTTCCTCAGGGAAATAGTCTCTGATCTTTCTGGCAGGGTCAAATTCCCTTAGGAAAGCCCCATACCTATTCCTTTCTAAACATGTAAACAGGCTATGATTAACTATGCAATTCCTAGCATTCGACCAATCATTTTATGTGTATTTTATGCTACTTAAAGGCCTTCTGATGCCATCAGTGGGCTGAAGGTCCTATGACAACAGTGGCTCATGTCTATCTTGTATCATTTTTAATGTATTCAAAGGACAGTTATCACTTTGTGACAAGAGGCAGGAATAGTTAGGTCAAAAATAAGATGGGGTAGCAGCAGAAACAATAGCAAGCTTCTGTAGGATGGCAAGCATAGCAGATGGAGAAGCTTGGCTAAGATCTTGACAGCTGAATCCGGGACTTCCAGATCTGCAATATGGTGACTTAGAAAGCATCACAGAACATCTTGGTCCTAAAACTAGGTGTTTCCATTGCCTGATACCATTGCTGAGTGATTCAAAGCTAGTAAGAAGCAATCGTCAGAGACTTCAATCATTCAGACAAGAGCTAAATCAAAAGAGTAAAGGCGAGGCCCCATGCCCACCAATTGTGGGCTACTCAGAAAAACTAATTAGAGGCGTATGTTCTGGTGTCAACCTTCTCCTAAATGGTTCACACTAATGTACTCTACAACTTGAGCTTGAAGCTCAGTTCCCTTCGACACCCTGTCCTGGACACATGCTGTAACCCAACTCACTGTTTTTCAAGTCTTCCTGAGAAATCTTTTAACTCCTTCCAAGTTCAGTTCAAGAAACGCTCTGAAAACAACTCAGTACCATATACCCCAATGCCTCTCAGCATTAATGAACAGAATACATTAATTCATTCATCATTCCTTATTGAACAACACTTGTGATCTTCTTTATCTTATGGTCCTTTGTCTATTTTATCTCCTATTGAGTCTATGAAAGGACTCACGTTAACCCATAGTAAGCTTGGGATCAGTCACATAATGGATCTCTAAAGTCACATAGCTGAGACTATGACAGCCCAGAGGTAACCCGAGATACTTTATCAAGCATTCCCAGAAACTTTCTGAGGGCATTTTTATAGCTCCTAAGTCCAAAGGTAAAGGTGTTTAGACCAATGCTAGATCAGTTCAGTTGCAGTGAGAAAAATGGCGTATGAAGACGAACGCCTTCTCTTTGAAGAGAACCAGGTCTATGCCTTCCTACCTGATGTCCCTATCACAAAACTGTGTCAAAATCTGGGCTAAGCTGCAGTTTTGCCTCTTTTCCAGCCTTGGGTGATGTCAGCTCAGCTTCCATCCCTGGGGGACATTGTCCCGCATTAAATGTTATGCCTTTAGGAAAATACATCACAGAAGTTCACATGTCAAATCTTGAGAAAGTAAGAAACAATAACATTTACTGTGTTCTTAGCCATGGTAGCACACACCAGCACTCAAGTTGAGACAAGAGGATGGCTATGTCATGACCAGCCTGGGCTCCGCAGGAAGACAAAGTCAGCCTGAACTATAGGATAAAATCCTGTCTCAGAACCTTAAAGGTTAGGGCTGCAGCTTTGTTGTAGTTTAAGCCTATTATGCATAAGACTCTGGGTTCCTTCTCCATCCAGCACCATGAAAATCAAGGCAAAACAACTTTACTTGGTGTTTATATCATGAGACAGGTCCATATATGCTGAGATTATCACTAAAATCCCTCACTTGAGTCATTTTTCTTTTGATTAATTTATAAGCAGTGTGCTTAGCACTTAGAGGTTAAGAACCATGCCCAAGTTCTGGTGGCTGAATCCATATGTGCTTATGCCAAGGCTGGATTTCTATCCACACAACTAATTCTCAGTGTTTAATGCCACTCATCAAACGTCTTTTTATTCTCCCTGTAATTCTGAAAAGACACTCATATAGGAAGGGAGAGAGGAAAGAAAGGAAGGGAGGGAGGAAAGGAAGGGAGGGAGGGAGGGAGAGAGGGAGGGAAGGAGGGAGGGAGGGAAGGAGAGAGGGAGAGAGGGAGAGTGGGAAAGAAAGAGGAGGGATTACCTGATAAGTCCCAAGTCTTCTCCATTCAAATCTACCATTTTCAAGACGGTCATTTCCTGGTCCGTGTCTGAAGAATACCTGTCATCCAAATAAAGAAACTTGGTCAGTTTTTGTTAGAGACTGACCCTAAGCTTCTATTGACAACAGACACAGACACAAAAACTAACAAAATAGGGGTGAGGGAGATGGCTCCATGGATAAGGGCATGGGCCAGGCAAGCCTGAAGACTTGAGTTTGATCTCCGGAACTCATAAAGGGGGAAGGAGAGAACCAGCCCCCAGTAGGTGTCCTCTGACTACCTTATACTTGCTGTGGTACGAGTTCTCTCAACATACGTATGTACATGTGTGCATGCACACACACACACATGCACATACACACTAATAAAAATAAATAAATAAATTTGAATGCCTCTTCATGAACTCCAGAATAAAGAGCGGTCAGCCGTACACTGCAGCCTTTACCTCATTCCTCAGCTAAATAAGTAGTTTACAGTTATGATCAGTGGTAGAGGCACTAGATCAACGAACTGAAGCTAAAATACATTTTATACCATATGCATGGCATTATATAATGTGGATGTGTCTCTTACAAACAGAATTTATGTTTGAAATGTCTACTAATACCAGCTTTCAATAGAATCTCTTCAGAAGGACACAGAGATTGCAAACGAAGGTCAATCAAGACCTGAAACTCCAGAATTCTCCATCTTTCCAAGGGAAATCGGATTATAACTTCTAAAAATAAGTAGTCTTGGCAACTAGACCAATGTAATCTGTCAAGCAGTCAAGGTAGAACTGAGATGTCACTGTAAGCTGCCGCGGTACCCACGCATCTCTTCTCATCAGTCACAAGCCTGGCTCATCACTGTAAAAACACAGAGCCCTCGCATCCGCTGGCTGCTCCGTTTAGTTACGATTGTGTCATATCTGGTTCTTTCTCTCAGATTCTCTCACCTTCCGTGTTCAGCTCAGGTAGACTAAGATGATGCATGTGGACAACACATAATAAAATAAGATGGAATAATGCCTGCTCCTTAAATGATGAGCTCTACACATGGAATCTCCATTTTATAGATGGAGAAACTGAGACCCAACAAAGGGAGTGAGAAGTCTCCAAAGGCGACACATTAGAAAACAGTAAGTCCCGGCAGGGTCACAGTCTCTCAAGCCTCCACGGGGTTTCCCACGGACAACAATGTGCGGGGATGGTGACAAGAATCTATGTCTGTCTCCACATTTATTTCTTGCTTCTTCTTGCCTGAGACAAACATGTTAAAGTTATCTTCTTTATTACTCTTCTGGGATCCCACTACACCCTAGAACTTACCAGCTCTGCCCTTAGATTTTGTTGGTGTTTAGTGAAAAGCACACAAGTACACCGTTTGGATCATTCCCACTGACCTGGCTCTCTCTGACGGTGGGTTCTGAAGGTACGAAGAGGGGCTTCGGTTGATCTGCACATTAGCAACATTTCCTTTATTGATAAAGATTTTGCCTGGTTTAAGATTTGTGTGTGCTATCTCAATGCTCTGAAAGTTCAAAAAACGAAGAAATAAAGAGTTGTAAGTTTATGCATCTTTGTGGAGATAATGAGCAATGCCAACAGAAGACCTCGCTGACAACCTCCATTGTTTCTAATGTGCCCCCAATGTAGGGAAAGACTGGAGACTCACAGGGCCAGCATCACTCTGGAGGGAAGGGAAGTGATGGGAAAGGATGCTTGGTACTCATAAGCCACACCCCACAAGAGTTCCATCTCTTGGGCTCTGTGGTTTGCTAGGTCATGAGAATTTTGATAATTTTAGGGACAAAATGGAGGACTTGACTCCTATCACTCTGGAACAAAATGTATTATCACACAAGTATTCAGTTTTCCTCTCAACCCCATCATCTTCTTTGTTTTCAATCATCTTTAACTGGGCGCCATGAAGGGACGTTTTTATTGCAACTTAGTGTATATTAACTTACACACACTAAAATAAAAGTTCACAAAACAAACTATACTCTCATAAGGTGTGTAGTATGTAGTTCCCAATCTACTTTACTGGAATCTTTTATAATTAATATTTCTTACAAACCATGACATTTATTTCATAAACCTTTAACACATCACTAAACACACTATAAAAATATTGTAAAGGAAAGCCTGTCTTTGTCAGCTGAATCTCTGCATGTGGGGCTAATTTTGTGGAGAAAAAAAAAGGAGAGAGAGAGAGAGAGAGAGAGAGAGAGAGAGAGAGAGAGAGAGGAACTAAATCTGAAAGGCAAAAAGAAAGAAAAGAAGAAAGAAAGAAAGAAAGAAAGAAGAGAGAGAGAGAGAGAGAGAGAGAGAGAGAGAGAGAGAGAGAACACTGACAAACACCTCACACAGGAAATGATGATGAGCCAGAAGACAACCAGAGAGGAAGGAGTAAAGAGCCCACGTCAGGAATGGGAGAGGAATTGGGGGCGTGGGGGCTGACGAAGGATGGGAGTAAGCGAAGGGAAGGATGAGAGTAACAAAAGGAACCGAATAGGGTCATGCAACAGTGAGCGTCAACCAGTGCCTGAAAAGCTACTCCTGAAGGATTAAGAAATGAACTGCTAAAGGATATTTCTTTGCATCAATACAATGCCCAATGGCCATCAGGTAATCCTACCTTTTTTTGTTTTTATTAATTCTGTCTACTAACTAACACAAACCATGAAAATTCCTATGCTGTTTAACTTACAGAAAAGTAGTGTATTATCTGCAGCAGGTTCTCTAGCCACGAGGGATGCCTGGATGACAAAGTCCCGACTTGCTTAGCATGTGGACTTTCTGCTTATTGGCCCCCACCCCACAGCACCTCCTTTCCCTCCTTATAAAAACCTTGTCACAGCTGAGTCCCTACGGTGCTCTCCTTTTGGGGGAGGAGATTATAGCATCCTCCTCTCCACTGATCTATCATCTCCTGAATATTAGTTTCTGAGCTATAAAGATAATAGATCTGCCTCAGGTAACACTGGGAAAGAGGAAGAAAGGTCAACACCAAAAGTGAACTCAGACCCCAATCCTCCAGGGAATTTCTCTGTGTCACACTAAATCAGTTCTGAAACATCCCTGCGAACAGTGAATTGCAGCTAGTAGGGAATTCTTCACCTACCTTCACAATGCCAGACACCAGGTATTGAAAGGTTCGATTGCTGAAGCCTTCACTGGCTAGTATATAGAGTGTGTATTGGAAATACCCTGCTGGACCCGAGTGCGTGTGAGTGCCACTCAGGACAACGTTGTCTCTTCGATACAGGGAGCCATATTTACTCTGCAGTCTCTTCAGGACCTGGAAAGAAAGCAAAACATAGAACTAAGAAGAATCCATGGCATCTCAGCAGGAAAGTGAGTTCTGAGGAGCTCAAGCACAGGTCGGCCCTGCGCACTTCCTTTTCAAGCGGTCCCTTCCTCCACATTGCTCATCCTAGTAAAAAGTGCAGTGATGCCTCAGATGCCAACATTCTGTAGGGGCCTGCTATGTGCTAGTATAGCAATAGCCAGACATTTTACGTACACTATATTATTTAAAATATGCATAACACCCCCAAATCAGTTATTATCAACCTCCTCTTTCAACTGAGAACACTGATATACAAAAGTTAATTTTCCCAATAATCTAAGGAGTAGCAGAGATCAAGCTCCAGGTCTAAGACTTTCTAATACACCTTTCATCTATTCCTCTCTCAAAATCTAGCATTTCTCGCGATAGAAATACACTGAATTTTAACCTCGAAGGAGTTTTCTTATAATGAAAGAGAAAGCCAAAACTAATTATGTGCTGTTATGCCGCACAGTGATGAACTCTATGCAGGAACACATTGAAGGTTAAGGAAAATGGTGAGGGGTAAAGAGGGGGGGGGTATTCCTAAAGAAAGGCTCTGTTTGCCAGGTTTTAAATGAAAGAAAAGAAGCTGCTTGTGCCCAGAAAAGCATCCCAGCCTCAGCAGAGGCCTCAAAGCCTCGCTTTGCACGATAGAGAATCATCTCTTCTTTGACACAGACTATTGCACTTGTTGGTCAACGTTAAACCACCTACTGTGTGTGACGTCACCCCAGGATCTAGCGGAGGACTTGCATAGGAAGGAACCATCCTGTCAGCACTAACATGTGAGAGATATGAGTGAGAAGTCTCCAATTTACAGCGTTTAAACACTCAGAAACCGACTGCAGCCAAACCAGCTAGGTACTGCTTTGAGCCACCAGGTTTCTGAATTTCCTTGTTTAGCAGTAGATAAAGGAACTTGAGCAAATGTTCGTTACATTAGTTAGTCAATGAGCACACACATATGTATACGTAAACACACACACATGAAGAAAACACAGAAAAAAAATACGATGCTGAGCAGCTAATCATGATTCGGTTCAATCACCTGCCACCTGACATTCGCTATTACTGTTACTTCTCCGTGGCACATCACTAAAATGACACCATAAAAGTGTGAGTCACTGCTGGGTTGTCTCATCCAGCCTTAGCAGGAAAGGAGGTTGCCTAGTCTTGCTGCAACTTGATTTCCCATGGCTGGCTGATATACATGGAAGGCCTGCACTTTGGAAGGAGAGGGAGAAGGAAGGAATGGAGCAGGAGTTGGGGTTGGAGAAGGGAGCAGAGAGAAAGATGGGAAGGAGAGAGAGGAGGGAGGGAGGGGAAACTGGTTGGGCCAGGAAAAAAAATCATTATTGTTTAATTCATAATAAAAAAAAATTTTAAACAGAGAGAATAATAGATTTTTAAAAGTATCAATCACAAAACATCAACTAGCGGCGCCTCTCAAGAACTAGTGCCATCCAGTTTCAGCACATCCTCGGTCTAACAGGGGAGGAGTGTGTGCGCTATGATGCATTTAATCTGCAGAGATAACAACTTATTGTCTTCTTCCTTAACTAAAGAACTCTATCAACCTTGCTCCCATGTGTGGTCATTAAAAGAAAACAGAAGACCATGTGAAGTATTTTGCCTCATTAGCCTATCCATGCCCCCAAGGTTACCATGTATGATGACTGTTTTTAAAATCAACTTGCCACAAATTATAATTACCAGAATAGGGGGCTAGAGAGATGGCTCAGCGGTTAAGAGCACCTGCTACTCTCTTTTTTTTAAAAAAAAAAAATATTTATTTATTTATTTATTTATTATGTATACGATATTCTGTCTCTGTGTAAGCCTGCAAACCAGAAGAGGGCACCAGACCTCATTACAGATGATTGTGAGCCGCCATGTGGTTGCTGGGAATTGAACTCAGGACCTTTGGAAGAGCAGGCAATGCTCTTAACCACTGAGCCATATCTTCAGCCCCGCACCTGCTACTCTTGCAGAGGACCCTGGTTCCGTTCCCAGCACCCCCATGACTGCTCATAACAGTCTATAACTCCAGTTTCAGGAGAGCTTATGTCCTCTTCTGGCCTCCTTAGGTACTGTGCATATATGTTTATATACATCCAGGCAAACACTCACTCATATAAAATCAAATAAATACACCTAAAGAAGAAGAAATAATAACCGGAGAGAGCCTCAACCGAGGAATTGTCTTAATTGCCTTTATTTATATGGGAAGAGCGACACCAAATGTGAGTAGGGTTTTTGGGTAGCAGCCCAGACAAGGAAGTGTTTCCACCTTTTGCTCTCATTGCTGAATTAATCTCCCCTGTTTGCTGCTGCTCCAGATTCCTCTGTTAATGTTAGAACCAGTGTTCCCAGGCTCCCATCACTGACTGAGGATCAGTAGCTCTCCCAGAACCTTACAGGACCTCAGTGCCAGGTGGAGACTGGCGGGAATTATCAGTCTCTCTAGCGTGACTCAGTTATTGTGGAGCTGGCTACTCCCTCTGCCTCAAGGGCCCGGCGATCACCAGGTTCTCAGCCTCTCGGCTGTGAGACAACTCTTGTTACGGTTTCAAAGGAGGTGATTTAATAAAATGCATTTTTAAAAAATATATTTTCCATTCTATCTGTTCTTTTCCTCTAGAGAACCCTAATTATGCCACATTCACATAAGCAATACTGGGGAAAGAAAATGACAAGTTGTAACTAGCAACCCTCTGACCAAGTAGCCTTCAGCTCCATCCCAGCGAGTCTCTGCCTCTTTTGTTTGACTTTGACACCAGTACCAAGGCCTCATCCCTCCCTCATATTCCCCTAGTAACTACCACAGTCACCGAGGAAAAAAATCTATCAGAAGGGAAGATGGTGAATGACCATGGAGCTGAATTAAAACTACCACGGAGCTGACTTAAAACCAAAGACCAATGTTCTCACAGTTCTCCACTACGGCAAGAAAGTGGGAAAATTCAGAATGAAAGTCATATTTAAACCCCCCTCCGTCCATCTCATCCATAATAAACTCTAACTTAGCATTAAATACATTTCTTCATGCTGAGTCAAGTCTGAGCTCTTAAGAAAGATAGCAATTATGAATCTTGGATTGTTGAACAATGAACAGCTCCCAGTCATCCTAAAGCACGGCCTCTGGTAGAGACTGAAGGGAAAGAACTGAATACTGACATGCTAGCCATGCCCACAGATAACTGTTACAGACAATCGTGGTCTGCTTTCAAGAAAGGAAGGCTGTGTTTGCCCAAAACAAAGCAGTTCCAGCCCTGTCTACTGCTCACTTCTTTGTCTTCCCTTTCTACTCTATTCTGCTGCAAACGCTCTTGGGAACATGATCAGCAGAAGGAGAAGGGCGTTCTGTCTCCTGGCCCGCCACACCTCTTACAGATTGCCCCTATCTTTATTCCACTCTGGAAATGTCTTCAGTCTTAGAGCCGAGAAAGAGACTTGACTAAAACCCTGCATCATAAATACGCTTAAGGCACATACTTAACTGTTTTTATTTTTCTTCTACGTTTCCTTGGACCGGCTTTTGAGAATTAAGTGGGCTGGTATAAAGGCCTTCCCCTAGGCCTGATTGCAGAGAGAGTAAAATCAGAAAGCCGTGGTTAAATCAAGGCCACTATTGACCTAAGAGCACCTAGATCCCACCCATCACCTCCCTGCACTCCTCTCTGCCTCTCCAGTGTCTTTCTTTTGCTCAGGATTCTGTCAAAGACGTCAACCATAGGCATCTTGGATTCCTCAGAAGAGCAGTGTGGTGCAGGGCTAATGAGCCCAGCCTGTGGCCCAGGGATGCCTAAGTTTGGACCGTAGCTCTGACAATTCCTCGTCATTTAACCTTGGATAAGTTATTCTATCCTCTGCAACTTGGTTTCGCTCTTTCTAATCCCATAATAATAACACCTCTCTCAAAGAGTTGGAGGGTTGTTAATACCTATGGATTATTCTAAACAGTACCTGGCTTACCATGATCACTAGGTTGCTGCTTCCTCTGTTGACAGTAGAACCAGGGCTTCCAGGCTTCCATCATTGACTGAGGACTAGTAGCTCTCCCAGAACCTTACAGGACCTCAGTGACAGATTGAGACTGCATAGACGCCCAGAAACTACCAAGTTCCCAGTCTCTCAGGTATGAGACAGCTTGTTGTGGGACTGGCTACTCCCAAGGCCAAGGCTCCCTGCATCAAGGATCGGGCACTCACCAGGTTCTCCCTCTTGGCTGCGAAATCACTGTTGTCACAGTTTCAACTGGCTTACCATGAGTTCTAGTTAGTGTTTGTGCCATTTATTCTCACAGGTCATGGTATTTATCTTGTCCTAGCACCTTGTAATCTCACTGTCACCCCATTGGATTAAGACTAGTTTTGTGTGATACAGGGGAAATTGCCAGGTAGAGGCTGACAACCCCTCCCACAACCCTAACTTTCCTTCAGCCATCTGACACCTTCTAAAACACTACTTCCTGTTTGACATACCTAGTGTAACTATTGTTTTCCTGCCTGGATTCTCACCAATTGACTCTCTATGTTAAAGAATCTATTCTGTGACTTCCCCTCTAGTTCCCCTTTATTCCAGTATAAAAGAAGCATCACTGTCTAATTAGACACCCTGTATAAAACTGTGTTGATGTTACTCCACCCAAACATTTCCGAAGATTCCACATTACCCACATAATTAAAATCATTCTAGGATCCCAAGCTCCCTATAGTTACAACCAATGCCCCATCGAGGCACATAAATGACTCCATATTTTCTGAGGATTTCTTCTGTTCCCTCCAATGACATCTGCATCCCTCCTTTACACCTTCTTGTTTATTCTGTCCCTTGCATTTGGTCTCTCCCTATTATAGTTTGTCTTCTATTGTTGTAATAAAAACACAGTGATCAAAAGCAATTTGTGAAGGAAGAAATGGTTCATTTTAGCTTAACGTTGTACTCCATTGTGAAGGGAAGGTAGAAGAACTCAAGGCAGGAACCTAACGGCAGGAAGAGAAGCAGAGGCCATGAAAGAACACTGCTCACTGGTTTGCTTCCCCCTCCCTGATGACTTACTTGGCCTATTCTTTTTATATAACCAGAACCATCTGTTCAGGTGTGGAGCCATCCATCACAGGCTGCTCCCTATCCACATCAATCATTAATCTAGAAAATGCTCCCCACAAATTTGAGGACCAATAAGACGGAGACAATTTCTCAATTCACATAAACCTCTTTCCAAATAAGCCAAGCTTGTGTACAACTGACCAAAACCTAACCAAAATACTTCCTCTGTACTTTAGCCATTTAGAATTCTGCTCAGTCAAATATTTCTCCTACTAAGACTTTCCTGATTCTCATTTCCATATCTCTTTGTCTCCTGTGATAGTCTTGAAAGACTGTACATCCATAAATTCTTTCATAGCACCTCCTTCAAAGAGTGAAGTCTATCTGATCATGGTGGCAAGGGTCTATCATCCCAGAACTTGGGAGTTTGGGGCAGGAGGTAGCAAGAATGAGCTAAATGGTCTTTTTTTTCAAGACAGGGTTTTTCTATGTAGTTTTGGCTGTCCTAGAACTCACTTTGTAGACCAGCTGGCCTCAAACTCACAGAGATCCACCTACCTCTGCCTCCTGCGTCCTGGAATTAAAGGTGTGTGCTGTCACTGCCCATCAAATTGAACAGTCTTAAGCAACATAGTGAGACACTGCCCCCAAACTAAACAAACCACAGTACAAAAGCAGAATTTTCCTAACTCTAAGTGTGGATAGACTTGATTAATGTCCAGGAAGGTAATTGTGTGTAACTTCTAGAAATGAGTCAGAAAATCACTGTGCCATCCACCCTGCACGAATTCATGAGGATTGGAGTGGAGACCTGAAGCTTCCTGCCAACAAACACACTAATGAACCAACTTGCATGTGGATCTTGCCCCTCAGTCAAGCCTTCAATGTATCTGTTCTTTACCATCCTCATAATTGCAAGAGAACCAAGCCAGACCATGTAGCTAGGCTAGTCCTGAATTCCAGTTCCATAGAGCAGGTAAGATAGTAAATATTTATTATTTTAGGCCACTGTATTTTGGATAAAATATTACAAGGAAATAGATAGTTACTAGAGGACTATACTCCACTGATTCATGCTTACCTGTTAGCCTCTGTGACAGTCTTTCCTCCTAAGACTCAACTAGATGGTGACCATGTAGGGGGCATGGCTTGGGACTTCTTTAGCTGCAAGCACTAGCAAAATATCTTCAAGAAAGTGGGTGATAGGGGCACTTTTCTCTCTAAAAGAATGATGTCTTCCTGAGTTGAATAGAGTACTTGTACAGTGTACAGAAATCCCTGTGCTCAAACCCCAGCACCACAGCAACCACACGTAATCCTGGTATGTAGAGGATGTAGAGGCAGAAGAACCAAAGTTCAAAGTTATCATTAGCTATACAGTGACTTTGACCCACACGTGCTACATGAGATGCTGTCTCCGATAAAGGGTCTGGGGTTAATGTCTCTTTTAAGAATGTAGTTTTTTTCATAACCCAGCTCTAGCATTTGCTAAGATTCTCTCTGTGGATAATAGCAGAGCCAACTCAGGGTTTTATTGTTCGTGTAAGAGGGAGGAAAATGCTTAACTCCCTCCTCCTGTCTACACATGGGAGAAGCTCCCACTACACACCCAATAGTGACAACATCAGAGGGTACCTTCGGGCCGTGTCATCACTAACCCCTGCACACAGCACAGCAGCGAAGCTTTCAGCAAGAGAGAGCGACAGAACACCAGCCTACAGGAGTGATCCCTGGTCACTTCTCTGGTCGACCTTACACCTCTCTCCCTCTTTCTCTTGCTGGTGAGTCTGCACACACTCCCAGCTCACAGTCACTACCATATCTGAGCCTACATAGAAAGGAACTCTGGGCCAGGCCTTTAAAACTGGTCAGGAGACTGACAAGGGACCTGTGACTGCGGTGGATGTCCCCCTCCTTCCTCTCCTGCCTAGTGTTCTCTCTCTTCTTCCTTCCTCCTCTTCTTTCTCTGCTCCTTAAGGCCTCAAGCAACTCAGGACCCTTTGTGTGCCTCTCTGCTCACCTCAACTGTCTACACAGGTAAGTAACAATCTCGACATTCAGAGGAGAGGGCATCAAATTCTGTCACATTCTACAGTAGTGTAAGGATGAAGATTCTTCAAACAACCAACGCAATTTTCCAACTCATCTAACAATAACCAGACTGGTATAACAGCCCTTTCATGTGACCATCACCCATTTCCTTCCATTACCAGTTCATGGTCAACCTCCTTGCAAAGCTTGGTCTTGGCCCTCAACTGATTCCTTACACGAATCCTCAATCGTATGCGAACTAGAGAAGCAGGTGAGTGACCAGGCAGTGCTCTGGGGTGTCTGACAAGGATGACTACGTGAGACTCCATGTGAAAGGAAGTGGTCTATAGTAAGCTTTCAGAGAACATTTGCATTCTTAACAATGAGGAGCCATCAGCATAACCGGGAACCAGTTTTGGAAAGGAACACTTAGACTTCACTAACAAAGAGCATCTGCCTGTGTAAAATTGTCTTCCAGGTTGTTGAGACCTTACATGGAAGATAGGAGATACTTTCTTTAACTGAGAAGCATGCCTGTAAAGTTCCCATTGTGGGCATTCACAGACTATCCCCTGCTCCCCCCCACCCCCACCCCGCCGCCCTGCCATTTCATCTCTTACCTCCAGCCTGAGTCGTTGGGAGATCATACATAGTTCAACACTGACAAACGCCATCCGATTTGACCCATCTGAATCGGCCAAGATGAAAGCGCGGCTGTACAGCCTGGTGAGGAGGCCCTGTGCGTTCTGGCCGCTTTTGCCATAGCCCATCTGAAAGGAGAGAAAGTCACTGAGCTTCGGTAGGAGCCAGGCACAGTAATACCAGGAGAGACTGCTCAGAGACACAAAGAGAAAATTATCACGACTCTGTGGTTTAGTGATACCTTGTGTGTGTGTGTGTGTGTGTGTGTGTGTGTGTGTGTGTGTGTTTCCCAAAAATGCAAAGAAGACAAAATCGAGATAGAGTACTGATCAGACTGTGAGCCCTTCTCTATGAGGAGTGAGCAGGTGGCTGCACCTTCAGGGGACTTTTGAAGCCTTTGATGAGAAGCTTTCCTGCTAAGGTCTTATAAAGAAGCCACGGTTTCCCCTCTCCCGCCTTCACTCAGCTTTTTCCCAGTTCGTCATTCTCTAGACTAAGCCAAGTAAGACCGCGTACTCTGCGACCCTTCTCTCACCATCCGTTAGGACTAAACCCACGTCTTCCGATGGCCACCTCTACTCTTCGCCTTCCCATTCATGAGAGTGTTCAACTAGGGTTTATAGTTCAGGGATACTCTTCAGAACAGACAGCTGGGTGTAATCCATAGAGCATAAAGAGTATTTGCTAGAAGGGAGCAAATTCCAGAAGACCACTTCCTGCTCTTGTTTTCTAGGCAAGCAGCGAGGTGAGTGGGTATTTCCACCATTGGTATGCTGCAGGCGACACGCTGCCTCTGAGTCACGGAAGCGCTTGATGCTGGCTCTTTCTCAATTTACAGCTTTTGCTGTCTTTGTCTATGCTGACATAGCGACTCTTGCCTTTAATTCCAATACTGAGAGGGCAAAAGCAGGTGTGTCTTCACGAGTTCAAGGTCAGCCTAGTCTAGTAGTGAGTTCCAGGCCAGCCAAAGTTTACTTAACAAAACCTTATCTCAAAATAAATAAATAAATATAAAACAAAAACAAACAAGCAAAAAACAATTTGTCTGCATTTTAAAAGTGGGAGATTTCCAATCTCAAATCTTCAGAGATCTGCCGGCTTCTCACCCCAAAACTAAAAAATAGGAAAAGTCAGAATCTATGGATCCATTCACAAAAAAAAAATCATCAGTTGACTTTAAAAAGGACTTATAGTATGGACACAGATGGTACCCCCTCAAATCCTAGACTTTTGGGTCTGTGGGGACGCTCTGTGCCCATTGCCGGAGGTATCATTATACCAAGTGCTGCCAGAGGTCTCTAGGCCTGGGCATGGCAAAGAGAAAAGGCAACAACTCCCTGCCATCCCTTATGGCTAGTACGAGCAGTATTTAGTCAAGTGCCACCAGTGACCCAATCAAAAGCCCTGATGCTGGGCAACTGGTCACCACTGTGCTGAGAGAGTTCAAGACGGGAGAGCTGCAGCAGGACCATGGACTCAGGAATGGTCTTTGGTAGCAGCCCAGGTCAGGTTGTCACCATGGCCCCAGGTGAATGAATGCAGGCTCTCCAGCTGGTGTCCCCCCACAGCAGTGAAACACTCCAACAAACATGACCCCCCCCCCCCATGGTAATCCCAACCACAGGCCCTTGCGGAGGGGAGGGGCAGTGGTGACAGGAGTCCCAGACATCAACACATGCTCGCTGGACTGTGCCAGGGTCAGAGATCAAGACCTGGCCCTTGATCAAAGGCCAAGCCCAAGCATCTCCCTGGACTTGGGTGGCCAGCTGGCCGTTCTTATCCATCTGCTCCTCACCACTCTCACCTCTTCAGATCTGCCTCTCCCCCCAGCCCACAACCCACCCTGTGGCGTCCAGACCAAAGGCCGTGTCTGGATCCGTGGCCCAGTTGCAGCTGTGGGCTGCCGTGATGGCCATGGCGTATGCTCTCACTGGGGTCATTGGAAACATGCTGTGCTGAGTCGGCCCCACCCTTCACTGGCCCTGGTATCACCTGCCCCTTGGTGGGTATCGTCACAGGTAAGCCCACCCTTCAGTGGAGAACTCAAGTCCACACTTGGGAAAGATGACCCCACCCCTCACCTGGGAATCACAGTGGAGTTGACCCTATGGACTAGGGCACAGATGATTCAACCCTGAGGGCGTGAGGGCAAGAGAACTGACCCAGCCTCCCACTAGTCTGTCTTGTGCTGGCATGGGTCAGGGAAAGATGCCCTTCAGTCCTCCGCCCATTGCTACCTGTGGCAGGTGAAAGGGCTGGCCCTGGGGTCATAAGAGTAGGAGAGCTAGCCCTGATCCTCATCGACTGCAGTGCAGGAGAAAGCAGCCTCTGCTTCCCATCAGGCAGCACACTAGAGCTGACCCTCCTCCACACTTTGCTACCTGCGGCAAGAGAGAGAGCTAACCCGGGGCCATGAGAAGGAAAAAACTAGCCCTGTCTGACACAAGCCATGGCACACAGCAAAGCGGGTCCTGCGCTCTGCCTGGGCAGCACACTAAAGCTTACCCTGTTGTTTGGGATCCCAAGTGAGCCAGTTCTGAGGGCATGAGAGCAGGAGACCTGACCCCGCCCTCATCCCAGGTGGCCCCCTACAGCAAACAGGAGAGAGGATCCTGTACCTTGCCTGGCCCTGGCGATATGAGTGAGAGGGACTGCTGTGGGATTAGGCTCTTGTACACTGTGAAGATTTGTCACTTGTATTAGCTTAATATAATACTGATTGGCCAGGAGCCAGACAGGAAGCATAGCTGGGGCAGCCAGACTAGGAGAATTCTGGAAAGAGGAAAGGCAGAGAGTCAGTTACCTGCCAGATGCAGAGGAGGTAAAATTAGAATGCCTTACTGAGAAAAGGTACCAAGTCACGTGGTTAAACATAGACAAGAATTGTGGGTGAATTTAAGTCATGAGAGCTAGTTAGTAATAAGCCTGAGCAATAGGCTAAACAGTATATAATTAATATAAGCCTCTGTGTGTTTTGGGGGGATTGAATGGCTGCAGGACTGGGTGGGACAGAAACTTCCATCTACAGGGGACTCGGATCTGATGGCCAAAGAACAGGAGAACTGACCCTGTTCCTTGTTGTTGGCTGCATTGGATAAGCCGGCCTGGGCAGTGCTGGGGAGCTCATCCAGGTAGTGACAATGACGGAAAACTAGAGAGCTGACCAACCCAGCTACCACCCAGGCCCAGAACCAGGGCTATGAGTTGGCCCACCCCAGCATTCACCGAATCTATGAACGGTTGGAGCATATAAAGGGGATGAACCTACAGATCCAAAACAGCAGCATCTTCATGACACAGGACAACAACAGGGCATCCAAAAGGGGTCCCAGTGAGAGCCAATTATTGGTGAGAGCAACCAGAGGACTGGAGCCAGACCAGTGACCTGTGGTAATGAACACTTGCAAGTAAGGATGAACAGACTAAAGGGTAAACTGTGTGTCTCAACAGGCCACACTATACCTTCAGTAAGATTCTTCCTTCTTGTTTTGTTTTGTTTGCTTTAGTTTTAGTTCTTTGTTTTGTGTGAGGTTTGGTTTTTCTTTTAAATTTGACTTTGTTTTGGGGGGAGGTCACAAGGGCAGAAGGCAGATGTGAGGGGACAGGGAGACAAGTGGGTTCTAAATGTATGATGTGAAATCCACAAAGAATCAATAAGAGTAAAAAAAAGATGTAATTGAATTTTAAAAATTGGTTCTTCTTATAGGATAATATTCATAGTGGTGGACAGCAGCAATGTCAACACAAAAGCTAGAAACGATTACATGATGATCAGAAAAGAAGGATACCACATAATAAAATTGCTTGTTTCGTGACCTATTTAAGGAGCCCAGACATTTACCTACCAAATTGATATCTGATACTTGTCCTGTGCAATCGGCTCGCCCAACACCAATGTAGTAGCCACTGAAGTTCTGAGATGGAGGAGGGTCTGAAATGTGAGTGATTGGAGAGGTCGGGGTGGCTGCGGGGCCCTGGGTGGTTGAAGACCCATGATTTCCTGAGTCTAAAAACAGAACAGGACATTTGAGAAACAACACTTTATCGCACTTATGCCCTGGCCATGATTAGAAGACAGAGTTTCAAGTTTTCAAGGATGACATTGACAAATGCCTCTCATTTTTAGCTTTCTTTGGCTTTGGATTGGTCCATTTATTTCTTAGGACCGTGCCTCATTATGGAATTCAAGTTGGCTTTGAACACAAAGATATTCCAGTCTTTGCCTTCTATATGCTGGGATTGTAGATGTGTGCCACCACGCCCAGGGTAATGTATTCACCTATATGTAAAATAGAAAGCGAGACCTGGGAGCCTGTGTGAAATCATAAGTCAAAGCACCATCCTACTCCTGGGCTGGCGGTGTTTCAGAAAAAGCAAGGCCTTGGCAAGCACTCTTTAACTTCAGCATCCCCTGTCCCCAGCATTTCCTTGTCGCCCTTCTTGTCCCTTCCCTCCTTTTCTGCACTACTCAAGCCAATCATGTAGAAGTGACTCCTGCTAAGCCTCCTAAACCCAAGCCCTGGGTTGGACTTCTTTTTCCATCCTCTCCAGACTTCCCACTGCTCCCCTCTCCATTGAACGCTGTCCACCACTCCCTACAGAGCTGCTCCATCTCCATCATTCCTGCCTTCACCCGGATTCCTCATCAAAGACGTCATCCAAATGTCACTGCCCTGCTTTGGTCCTTAGCCTGCTAAGGCCTTTTATTAATGCAGCTGGAATCATTGTATACTTGGTGACATAATTCTACCTCAATGTCATTTTTCTTATACATATGTGAATGCATTAATGCACACATAGTCCATACCAAATGCACATGTCTATAACATATGAACATACAGGGATATCAGGGGATACAAAATGATATAGAGATTAAAAGGCCAGTGTCAGACACAAACTTCTTGGTTTGAAATTTAATTCTCCTGGTTATTGGTGGAACAAATAGCCTAATCTAGTTCTCTCTGACTTTCTCACCTATAGTAAGCGCTTAAGGTGCTTCCCGGTGTAGTTTTGTGCAGCAACCTTGTGAAAACACATCAGAGAGCTAGAACACTGCTACTCCCTTGCTTTGATTTTCTTTCCAGCTGGGAATGTTGTACAACTAGACCTTTGCTTGTTTGTTTTTTTTTATTGCCAGATAGTAGCCAGGTGTAGCCACAGCATTAAATGTCATTGTCATAGGCACTGGCAGTCAGAACAACTTGGAGACTGATATCTGGCTTCTTCCGAGATTCCAGAACTTTGGAACGAAAATGTTAGAGATTAACAACTCCAACTGTAACCGACCTGGCAGTGGTGAAGATATTCCAAAGAGACACTTGCCCGTCCTCCTGGCTATTAGCTACTTCAACGATGAACCCCAAGTCATTGGAATTTCTCCAGAAATGTCATGCTCCAAAGAGGAAAAGGGTGGGAACGTGGTGCCAGCCAGGGGTGGGGCAGGAGTTTATCTGCTAGAACAAGATCTCCCATTGTCCTGACAACTTGTCAGAACACCTTGCAAGACAGGACAAACTGAGACCGGGATGTGTAACCAAGCAGCTCCACATACCGCTTTCCTTGTATTTAAATTAAACCTCATGCCAGAGGACTGGGGATGGAAGGGTCACTGACCCTCTATGTTCCTCTCTCCACTGTTACCTTGTTGAATAAATCTTTTTATGCTCTTCAGTTTGACTTTGTCTCTTGAACTGGTCCATTATGGATGAATATCCAAGCATAGCTTGATAGGGTTTCCAGGGCCCAGGCTCCCACCCTCACAACTCTGGTGATATAATCTCCTCAAGTTTATAAATATGAACCTCAAAACTTGGAGAAGTGACAAAAATGAGACTTCATGACGAACATGTGATGAATCTGGCGCCCACACCACCTCAGAGGAGGCTCTGATATTCTTGCAACTGTATCTCGGGGCTACAAACACACGTGTCTCCTGCACAGCCTCAGATGTTACAGGGAGAGAAGCATTACTTTTGCTGCGCTGCCACCAACATCAAAATGTGATACAAACTACGGCCAAGCCTCCTACGGAAGGCAAGCTCTTTGCTTTCTTCACATTTCAATTTGGAAAATGGCATCAATGTGAGAACTTTATAAGAATTTTGTGAAAATAGATGAAAAAATTATATGGAATTCTCATTAAACTGCACCACCAAACCACCATACCAAAACGCACACATGCGCACACACACACCAAGAAAAGAAGAGCCATTTGTGAGAATATACTGTGGCTTCTAATAACCCCGGAGTCTCCATCTCACTAATTTTAGGAGCCATGTTGACTGAGCAATGGTAACTCCTGGGATGATTTCACTTCTAGTTGTCCAGGAGTCTGCTTTGCCCACCACTGCAACAGAGAACCCTGCTCCTTTGTGTTTGCAGAGAATCTGCGGTGCCAAGACATGGTAGGGAGGACACTGCAAACAAAGAAGGGGCTACAACTGAGGATACTAGAGAAAACTTCTGGCTCCTTTGCCGCTTTACCTGCGGCCAGCTCTCTCTCTTTTTAATGAGATCAAAACAGTAAGCCCTCATCGATCTTCTCTATTCAGCTAACAGCCATGTATCTTTGCCCTGAAATAGAAGCTCCATCAACGACTATTATATTATATTATCATAATATATTATATTATAACATATTATCCTAATGATAATATCACCTGGAAATGCAGCCTACATTACATCCAGGAACCAAACTTGCTTCTGACACTGCAACAAGAAAATCAGGCACCATCTAAACAAAACAATTTTTGCCTCCTCTCAAAATCTTAGGCGAGTTAAACTAATATGGTGTCATGATAAGGTGCACTTTGTTTGCAGATTGTAGGGATTGTAGCCCTTGTCGGGTTGAGGCTGAGAACCGGCCTCTACTGTTTTAGGATGGTTTGATTGGTTCATGTTGTTTTCTTCTTTGTTCCCAATAGAAGAGCATGCCAACCAACAGGCAGGTAAAGATTGAAGGTCTAGCAGCAAAAGGTGGACTAGACTCAGAAGGACCTTGAACTGTGAGTACACCAACAGAAAATCTAAGAGGACTTGTGTATCTGTTTGTTATCTGGCTATTTGCGGACAAAGGTAAAAGTTATAAAAGCTGCTATCTTTGCAGAAAACGTAACTAGTACAGTGGGAGATGACATCTCAGGCTGCTCACAGGCAACCGGAAGCAGAAAGACACCATTTCAGATCTTGGTGCCGCCCACCCACCAAGAAATATCCTACAGGTCTGGGAAGGACATCCAGAAGAGCCCCAAATGCTTGCCTTTGTTGTTTTCGATGGTCCCACTGGTGACGAACAAGAGGGTGAGAAGAGCCACTGTGATGACTGTCATCATTACCAGCAGGAAAATGAGGAATGCCTCCAAGGAGGAGAAGGTACGCTTTGCCATTTCTCCTAAGACAAAACAGAGCAGGAAAAGGAATCACAGATTCGTGAGCATGCGCTCCAAGCTGCTGGAGACTATGTGGTCATAGGTATCTCTTCCATTTCAGTAGACTATAACAAGATGCAAGCACAGAATACACTCACCTCTGGCTCCGTGACCCAAATCCCTTGAAACCAAGACCAACACATAAAAGTACTCCTTTGAAAAGCCTGGGTATACTTTCCAAATCTTTCTCAGCGCAATGATCCTTTTGGTAACCACTCCTACGATTTGACACTGACATCTGAAGAAAAATTCATTTGGCAATACCATACATCTTTTGTTTGCGGCAAAAAAAAAAAAAAAAAACTATGGACTTACACACAAGTCTGTGCTAAAAGTGTTTCTGTCCATGGTGTGACTGATAAGCAACTCACTACTTGAACTCTGCAGGAGGCTGGCTGGTTTAGAGTTGTGTTTACGAACCAAGTAAAATCATCTTGTCCAGGGGCTAGAGAGGTGGCTCCATGCTCAAGTGTGTTGGCTGCTCCTCCAGAAGACCCAGGTTTGATTATGAACAGCCACACAGGGGCCCACAACCATCTGTAACTCTAGTCCCGGGGCATCTGAGATCCTCTTGTGGTTTCTCAGGGCACTAGGCATGCAAGTAATACAGACATACATGCATGCCAAACAGTCAGACACATAATAAAATAATGTAAACTATTTATTGATTTATGGAAACAGTGTCTTTTTGTAGACCAAGCTGGCCTCAAACTCACTTGCCTCTGCCTCCGAAGTATTGAGATTAAAAGAGGATACCACCACTCCCAGATAAATTTATTTAAAAAAAATAATAAAAAGAAACATAATCTTGCCCAGATGGAGGTGAAACCCATTACTGTTCAAACTCTGTCGTCACCTTCACTTACGTCCTAGTGCAGAAAAGGAGATCAGTGGCTCAAGCCAGGAATTAGAAAAAAAAAAAAAAAAAAAAAACCTCTTTCAGTGATCAAAAAGATGTCTCATAGCTTTAAACCCTGTGTTCCAGAAAAGTACCATTTTACCATCTCCTTTACAATGTTTCAAAAGAATTTATCATCACCCAAAGTGACCTTGGAAATGAGAATCCTCTATAATATGAGAAAAAATATGACCTGGTGTTTTAAAACTAATTTCTGAAGTCTAGCTATGAAGTTAAGACTCTTACTTTCCCCTTACAGGGAAACCTTAGATACTCAGCCACAGATATATGGTGATCATTTTAGGATCCATGTTACGGAATTCCATAAAATGAAATTCCTCTGCTGTCTGCATTACTTCTTTGGTCCCGAGATGGAATTAAGTGAGCAATGATTTTCTTTATCACTACGTGTGAAATAGTAAAGGTGGCACCCCTCTCGGTGTTGGCTGTTCGAGGGTTATTACAAACCCAGCTGAGACTTTTTGGAGCAGTTTTTCATTAAATGTTGGGGTTTGATTTGCTTATTTTATATGTGTGAAGGTTTTGCCAGCATGTTTGTATGTGCAACACACATGTGTCTGGTTCTCAAGTAGATCACAAGCCAAATTCCTCAGAAGGGGCATTAAGGATGGCTGTGAGCCACTATGCGGGTGTTAGAAACCAAGTCAAGGGCTTCTGCAAAAGCAACCAGCACTCTTAATCAGTGAGCCACCTCCAGCCGGAACCTGTTTGCTTAACCTGTGCTTTAGGAAGCTCAAGCAGAACTTCCAGGACTTAGCCTCCAAAGCTGCAGTTTCTGGCTAAGACACTGCTCACGCAAGAGTTTCTCCTGTCATTTTAAAATGACAGGATAGCTGCGTTCAGATAAGCTAAACAATATCCTTGTCAGATTCTGTTAAGATAGAAGTTGCACTTATAAATCCGAAAGTTGGCATTTCACCCAAATCTAGTTCCCAAATATGGCAGCAGCTGCTGCCTTCAGGTGTGCCAGGAACTCTCTACCGGTTAATCCCTACCCATGGGCCTAAGCCACCTAATTGCTTCCTGGTTTCTTTAAGTATTGAATTGTGTAATCCTTGGGTTTCAAGGTAAAAAAAAAAATCAACTGAAAAGCAGAAATTTCTGGGTTGGATAGATTAAGAAAATGACAGAAAGACAGGAACACATTTTTTTATTATTTTTTATTTTCTCCTTCTTTTATTGTGACTATGGTCATCCTCAACACCAATGTCAGAGCCACCTCCATTCTAGGACAAGACTAATTAGGTCTGTGCCTTGGTCCCAATTCCCTTCATCAGTCTTGAGGATCAGGAAACATCTAAAACATACTTCTGGACCTCTATACATAAGAAGAGTTGCCAATCACTAGATGCTGTTTCAGTAACAGATTTTTAAGCCCATTATATTTATTACTTGCTTACAGCATTCTTTAAAAAAATTTAAGAAATAATATATTTAAATAATATATAATAATTGATAATATAGTATATTTTACATAGCTAACATCTAACAAATAATATAAATGATATATCCATAACATGTAAAATAAATAAGATAAATATAAAAATTTAAATAACTCTATAAAAAGCTATTTCTAGGTGCTTCTTTTGAATCATGATGAAGAACAACTGGGCATCTCAATCCTAGAGCATCAGAATGAAGACTGTATATATAAATGTGGTCACAGCTCGCCTATGAAACACAGATAATGTGTGTGTTTATGTGTCGTCTGTGTGTGTGTGTTGGTTTTACACTATCAACTATACAACTATACAAAGCAAGAACTCTCTTGCTCTAAGCTCTTACTGGATCTTGAGTGCTCTGCCTCCTAAGCTTCCCCACCCTGCTTGTCTATCACGAGTGCTGCTAACGCATTCCCATTCTTTTTCAACTACATCAGCTGACTTTAACACCCCCTCTCAGGACATCAGACTTTGTAGTAGCCCTGTTTATTTCCAGCAATGATTAATAAAGTCTCAAATCAAACATGAAGGCAGCTGTCTTGTCTGTCTTCAGAATGCAGATATTCCATAAGACACCGCACTTCTCACTGCATCTTAAATGAGTTTGGATTTCACAGTGGCTCCTTTGATTGGGCAGAAGTCAGCAAGTGTAGCTATCTGTCACAGCTCCACAAAGATCTGCTTTTCAAGGAGACAACTATGAAAAAATTAACAATTGGACACAAACGAGCTTTCACAACTATGCAAACGAGGGAAAGCTTCCAAATTTTACTTAGGTACTGGATAATAAGATATGAGCTATGATTCTTTTTCCATCTCTCCCCATTGAGAAAAAGAAAAGTCATTCTTACCTGATTCTGTGATTCAAAGCAGTGTTCACCTCCCAGGAGAGCAAATGGCCATGCAGAATCTTGCTCCTTGTCCCTTGCAGTTTATGAGGCTGATTGTTCAATGCGTTCCCAAATCTACTGAGGAAAGATTCCATAGTCAAGTCATTAGGTATGCTAAGGGCTCATTAGCATACCTGTGGCCACAGCGGAAGGTTGTGACTAAAGTACATTGATTACAGAAAGCTTCCCAGCAGGCTCTCACAGTCTCCTGAACCTGCCTGCTACTGGAGGCCTCCGCAGAAGGCCTGTTAGACCAAAGGTTATTTCGATCCCAATGCAACTCTTCCAGTATGACAAGTTCTGGGGACAAGAACTGCAACCCACATCGCTAAAAATATTTATCTCCTGTATTTATTCAGCCTGTGAGCTGGAAGAAAATGGATGTTGTTGGGCATGGGTGTGGGCTCCGGGAACCACTATAAATGGGATAGTTATACCCATTACAGAACAAAGCAGTGCTTTTAATGTTTCGGTTTTCAGGCCCTCGTAGCAAAACAGAAGGTCCAAATTAAATAAGAATGTGATTCATAAATAATATAGATATTCAAAATGTTGGAAGCAAGGAACAGTCCCGTACACCAAGCTCTAGAGACCAGTCTGCAGCATGTTCCTAGAGCCTGTCTTAAAATAGTGACCGCGGCGGTAGTATATAGAACTGACGAACTGAGAAGTTCCAATTACACCAAATATTAAGTTGTCTCAAGTTTGCAATAGCACATGATAAAGACCAAACAGACACAAGAACAGATGGCAAAACTAAGGCAATTGTCTGGTGATTAATGGTAGTTTTTGTTTTCATTTTTTCATCCCTCGGTGGTTTCTGTAACAGCCCTGTATCACTTTTGTAAAGAAGAAAGGGGCTGTTTTTCCCTCTCCTTAAATACTGTCTTCTATGCAAGCGGGAAGCTAAGCAATGGCCTGTCAGCATAGGTTCACTCCCCTGTTTGGATTCCCTTTCTTCCTCCTAAATTCAAGGTCTAGGAAGCAGCTTGCAGGCTGTCTGATCCTTTGCAGAGTTAGAAAAGACAGGGGTCTCTAGAATTACAAGTAAACGCCTCTAGACAGATCACGAAGTGATGACTCTTAATGCTGTCTTCTTCTGCATAAAGTAACAGTTTAAGTCACGGCGGCAAATGAGGGGTTTTTTTAGTTGATGTATTTCGGTTAAAATTCTTAAAGGTAATAAATCTAGCTAATGTAAGCAGCAGGAGGAGAGGGAGGGGAGATGAGAATTCTCAGGAGGAACAGCTCTGCACATATCAGAGTAGGAGCTCCAGAACCGTCTAGTAGATCACTGCCATTGAGAAGGGTGCTTTCCAGTTACTTCAGGGCACTGTGCTCTTTCTTTGGTCTTTGAGTCCTGAAAGATGGCATCTAATTGCTCCAGCATGGATCAAATTCTTAGGGCTTCGCAGGCCTGCTATGGAGCTTTCTATCAGCCATCAGGGCAGGTTCAAGCCTGGAGGGCAAAGGAGCCTCAAAAGGCAGACTGCTGATAGCTGTAGAGCTCATACCTTGTAACAAAAATGATCCAGCACAGAGCAAACTGGAGGGAAATCCGTTCACACCTAAACTGTAACCATTGGCATCGTGTGTGTGTGTGTGTGTGTGTGTGTGTGTGTGTGTGTGTGTGTTTGTGTGTGTGTGCACCACATGCACACAGGTGCCAGTGGAGGCCAGAAAAGGGTGTCATTTTCCATGGAACTGGGATTACAGGTGAGCAACCTGCTAAGTATACTGGGAACTGAACTCAAGTCCTTTGGGAAAGCAGCAAGAGCTTCTAACCACTGAACCATCTCTCCGAGTCCCAAATTTCCACAAGACGTTACTAATTTCTATCACTTCTAGGCCTCAGCAGGCGTGGTACTGACTTCATACATGCGACATTGACAGTCACACCTTTTATTCTTTAAGTAATTTTAGAATAATTAGGAATTGAACTGTCTTAAGAAAGCATCTGTTTCAGATGAAATCCATATTTTCTTTTATATCATTTCTTGCTCAAGAAACCAAATATCCTTGGATAGACACTTGCTCTGGAGTCAGGGACAGGAATTACTTGAACTAAATCTCTAATATTATCAGGATTCAAGAAGGTCATCAATATTATTAGAATTGTGTCAAAAGAACTAAAAAAGTTCCTAATCTGAGACTGATAGTGGCTTTTAAAATAATTTTAGAATGGGAAGAAACAAATATATTTGAATCTATGATCTCATAAAGGCAGTAGGCATTTTCATCTCATATATTTTAGAGTTTTGTGATTAACATAATATTTGTTCTTATTTATGAAGTATGATGTAATATTTCAATTCATGTGCACTAATAAAATCAGGACAGCATTTCTACTCCTTTGTCATTACCGTCTAATCGGTCACACAAGCTAATTGCTGTAATCCACAGCAATTCATCACTGTGCTACAGACACAGACATTCAGCATTCCTGTCAAACCATCATTTCTGAAAAGACCCTAAGGAACAAATTTTCCTTTCTAATAGCTGAGAGTACAAAGAAAGAGGATGGGGGAGGAAAGAAGGAAGGAAGAAAGGCAGAAAAAAGATAACAGGGGTGATTTCGGAAATAAAAAAATCTATTCTTTTTTTTTCTGTACAAATCTACCCTGAAAGAGTCAAGTAATTGGTAAAAGACATTTTCTCACCATCTAAGAAATGGGCAGGACATGAAAAGGACTCAACACAGAGATCTGGCAAGTCTCTGGGTGATGTTCAAAACTCACTTTCAAAAGTTCTGTCATTAAGCTAAACTTAAATCTGAGTGCTTGCTTTATAGAAAACACAAAAACACAAGAGAATGTGTGACAGGACCAATATGCTGAGTCAGCCAGAAAAGGCCAGGCTGCCAGATACTGAACAGTGAGCTGGTTTCTATAAATGCAGAGGAGAAGAAAGGAGGGGCAGGAAGAGTGGAAGGAACCCGCTGGGGCTGTGAGAGGAAAGAACAAGAAAGCCGTGATGCTAACAAGGAGGGGTGAAGAAGAGAGAAGAGGGGACAACACGGAGTAGCAGAGCCCTAAGAGTCAGAGCAGCATCGGACACCGTAAACACCAAGCCAGCGCCGCTCGGAATCTGATTAAGAGAAAGCAGATGTGTGTTTCCCCGAAGTTCTGAGACAATTCGGGAAAGCTGAGTACTGTCTAAGCATCAGAGGCTATTAAAGAATTTGGCTAAAACGTTAGTATGGTAATGATGCTGTGGCTCTATTTTTGAAGAAATCTTGTTGCGGTTGTTGTGCTGAAATAATTCTTGAAACAGAACTGTTTTTTAAGAGAATAGAAGAAACCAAACAAAAAGGCCTAATTTAGATGGGCGGGTGGGTGGACGGATACATGGATGGTTGGGAGGACAGGACAGAGGCATGAGAAACAAGCTTTGTTTGATACGCTGCTTAGCAGGGCAGACAGGTTTCGGGTAATAACAGATGAAACACAAGGCTTCACTCAATTCCCATTCCTGTCCCAGATGCTGGACCCCCACCTGCCTATTCTGCCATCATGGATGAGGACCTGCCTGTCAGATGCACTGCCATCAGGACTGAGCCATTTGGAGAGATGCGGGCTCAGATGCATGCGTCTTGCCGCTTTGTCTCATGACAGCATGGACCTTCTAGCAGCTTCCTGGCTGTTTTCTCATTCCACGACTCTGGCCCACGTGCTCTGTCTCTGAGCAGCTAAACTCTGAAGGTGAAGCTGCGTCCAAGAGCTCAGCCTCAACTCTTGGTCTTTAGCCTATGCAGAGATTCTAGTGCTATCTCAGCCCTGATAGAAGAAAATTCTTTTCTTCTAAGCTCCCTAGGGGAGTCTCTGATACGCCCCCACTAAAAACAGTCCAAGCTCGGCCTCATAAAAACAAGTGTTGGACCTTCCACTCTTTGAAAAATGTTTGCATTCTAAGCAGAAGATTCTGTTCACGTCAAATGGTTTCTGGGAACATTTGGGGGAAGCTATGTGTATGTGTATGTTCAGTGTTCTTACAGTATGTGTGCATGTGCATATGTGTAGGCAGGAGTCAACTTTGTATGACATTTCTCAGAAATCATCCACTTTTTTTGAGGCGGGGTCTCTTACTTGGACCTGAGGCTCACTGATTAGACAGGGTTGGCTGGCCATCAAGCCCCAGGGACCTGCCTATCTCAGTATCTCTAACAGCAGACTTCCAGGTACAGGGCACCATGCCTAGCTCTTTAAGTGGGTATTGGGGACTCCTCTTAGGTCCATATGCTTACATAGCATGCGTTTTACTAACTGAGCCACCTTCCAAGGTACTCTGGGCTGATCTTTAAAATGTAAAGTGATGAGCAGTTTGACATGGTAAATTTTCATAAAATAAATTAATTTTAAATGGGCTGACATTGTAGTACATTAACAACTCACAGAAACTGCACAGGGATGGGGGAAAAATTGCTTTGAATCCCAAAACATTTTATCTTAACTGTAGATTCACCTTTTCACTTGTATCCGTTTAACCTTGATCTGCAAGAGAAATCCCTGCTCTTGCAATCTGGAATTTGGATGTCTCATTTAAGGTCACATGCTACCCTTATCCTACAATGAGTCTGGGATCGCATTGAGGGACATTCTACCAGGCAGTGGGAAGCTCAAGTCCCTGAGCAAAGACTTAATGAGAACCCCAGAACCAGGGAGCATAAGGTATAAACATGAAAGAACACACTACACACTAACCACCCTAGAAAATTCACCAAGTCAGTAAGCACTGAGCAGCCTCTAACTTTGCTCAAAGAGAGAGAGAGAGAGAGAGAGAGAGAGAGAGAGAGAGAGAAATGACCAGTGTTGTTGGAGAGTCCTCCCAGTTGACTCCAGCTCTGCTTGGATGCAAAGGAAAAAGAGAAGTGGGGCCATTTGGGGCGTGGGATGGGTTGGGACTTGGATCTGAAGATTAATATTGGTTTCTTTAATCACTCTGGGATTTAGTTTTCCTTCTTAGAGAAAAACCCTAACAAGAACAAATCTTGTGAAAACATCATGAGATAAAACAATTTTTTAAGTTCTTTGCTAATTTTATATCCAAATGTCAGTTGTGACACTGTGCGGCTGTCT